ATCGGGAGACAATAATCCACTCTACCCCGGGCGACAGTGTGGTTTTTATCAAATGCATTTTTCGGAAATGACTCTCAGAGTCGCAGAGAAGTTAAGTAACTTGCCCAAGGTCACACAGCTGGCAAATGAGGGATCCAAGATTTGAACCCAGGCAGGCGGGCGCCAGTGCCCTGGATGGTAATGCCACACTACAGGGAAATACCTGATGGGGTTGTCATGATGTTCTAGTAAGAGCAGGAATGTGAAGGGCTTAGTACGGCACTTGGCACAGGAGCCGTGCATGATACTTCTGACCTGTGCTGTTTATTTCCATCACCTAATTCCAGGCTAGTCTTGGCTCGATGTTGGAGGGATTTTCTGCCCCTGGCAGCATTCCAGGAATGCCAGCTGGCCTTTCTAAACCTATATGATTAGGAGTCAGAGTCCGGGGAAGGGAGAGTGGGGAGAGAATCAGATCACAAGAGGTAGCTGTATAGAGGTTAGGAGCAGGGGCGCCTGGGTGGCTCAGTTGGTTGAGCATCTGCCTTCAGCTCGGGTCATGATCTCAGGGTTCTGGGATCAAGCCCCGCATGGGGCTCTCTGCTGAGCAGGGAGCCTGCTTCTCCCTCTCCCTCTGCTGCTCCCCCCTACGTACTCACTTGCTCTCTCTCTCTGTCAAATAAATAAAATCTTAAAAAAAAAAAAAAAGAGGTTAGAAGCAACTCCCGCCCATCTCCAGCAGCAGGGAGGGTGAACATAGGGAGGTGAACACCAGGGGGTAAAATGTCTGAGCAGATGTACAGGAGAGAGTGGCCAGAGATCCTGACTTATCAGATTTGGGTTGTCTGCACAATTTGGGGACCCTATCCCCCGTTCCTTCTCCAGTATCTCAAAGCTCAAGACTCCACCCCCACGGGGCTGCTCCTAGGCAGAGCTCCAAGATGGTCTTATGAGGAGTGTGGCTCATGTTACCCCCGCCAAATGGCCACAGGAATATTTTGAGTCCCATGAACTCTTCCTTGTGCAAGCTTGCCCCTTCCCATCAGGAAGTGGAGTCTCTTCCCTCCCCTGGAAGCTGGGCAGGACCTCGTGACTGACTTGAGAAAGGGGCATGGAGGTGACACTGCATAGCTTCCAGGTCTAGGTCATAAAGGAGACACAGCTCCTGCCTGTTCCCTCGCTCGCTCTTCCTCCCTCCCTCCCGGGGCCCCAGCTGCCACGATGTGGGAAAGCCCAAGCGACCACGTGGAAAGGTCGCGTGTGGAGGTTCCAGCCACAGCCCACAGGTGAGGTCCCAGCTGAGAGCAGCAACAACAAGCAGGTGAGTGGGGGAGCTGCAGATCATGCCAGCCCACTGCCTTTGAGCGGCCCCTGCTGATGCCAGGTAGGGTGGAGGTGAGCTTTCTGCACAGAGCCCTGCCCAGATGGCAATTCATGAGCAAAATAAATCTCTCCATGGGATGGTTTGTTTTGTAAACGAGAGAGCTTCCAATTCTTTCCCACCTGAAGGGAACGAGGACTTCATTCAAACCTAACCCAGATGTCACGTCCCTGTTCAAAAGCCTCCCATGCTCCCATCGCCCTCAGAGTGAAAGCCAAGGTCCACGCGTAACCTAAAAACCCATCCTACGTGATCTTCCCACACTGTTGTCCACCTCATACCCCACACCACCTTTTCTGACCTAATCTCCCACTCTCCCCATCCATCCTTCTGCTCTAGCCACACTGGTTTCCTTGCTGATCTCTGAACTTACCGGGCCAGTCCAACCTCAGGACCTTTGCACTTGCTGTTCTCTTCGTTCAGCACACTCTTCTCCCAGAAATCCATGGGGTATCCCCCGTCCTCATCTTCAAGTCTTTGCTCAGATGTCACCTTCTCATTAAGCTCTTCCACAACCAAACCATTTAAAATTATAGCTCCCACTGCCAAAAATCACTACGCCCTCCATTCTCTGGGTTGCATTTCCCTATAGCACTTGTTAAAATGTACTATATATTTCACTTACGTTTCTATGTATAGTCATTCTGCCCAAATAGAGTGTAAGTTCCATGAAGGCAGGTCAGGCATCTTAACCTACCTTGTTAACCACCATATCCCCAGTGCCTACAACAGCTCCTCCTGTATATTTGGCACTCTGTCTCCTGAGTCCTTCTGCCTTCTATCAATATTTGTTTGCTCTTCAGATTTTTCTCTTTTGAGATAAAACTTACATATAACAAGATGCACAAATCTTAAGAGTACGATTTGCTGAGTTTTGACAAATGCATATACCTTTGTAACCCAAACTCTGTCACGATAAGGAACCACTGTCCTGATTTTTTTTTTTTCCCACCTGCGATCAGCCTTGCCCATTCTGAACTTCATGTAATTGAAATCACACAGCATACTTTGTTTTGTGTCTGGCTTCTTTCATTCAGCGTAATGATCTTGAGATTCATCCATGTCGGGTGTGTATCAATAGTTCATCCTTTTTCTTGCTGGGTAGTGTTCACCATATGGGTATACCACAGTTTGTTATTCATATTGATATATTGATGTGTTGGTATGTGAACCTCAATATCTCTTCAATCCATCTCCTCTCCTTCACCCCCCCACGGCCCCTGCCCTGGCCCCGGTCTTTATACCCAGGCTCCTTCCAGTTCTCTGACCTCCTGTCTCACCCCATCATCCGCTCTCCACAGAGCAACCAGAGGAATCTTTATAGGCACACATTGTGTTCCTGTCCTGCTCAAAACTCTGCCATGGCTCCCTAGTGCCCTCAGGAGATCGCCCAATCTTCTTCAATGCCTTTCAGACCTGCTTCGATCTCACCTGCATGCACCACTCCAGCATCACCTCCCACCTCTTTACGCTCCAGGTTGCAGGCGGTCTCCTTCTCAGGTCCCTCATGGTACCAAGCTGTCTTGCCTCCACACCATTATAGTCTCTGTCCAGAGTACTTTTCCCTAGCCCTCTCTTTACCTTCCTAACTGCTATTCATCCTATTCATTCAGATGTCTCCTCCTTAGGAAACCTTTCTTGAGAGGCTGGGTGAGACACCTGCACAGAGCTCCCATGGTCCCTGGTGGCTCAGATCAGTCTACATTTTAATAACAAAAAGGTCTCTGCTAAACTTCCGTTCCAGGAACAAACCTTGTTTCTCGAGGCAAACAAGAACACATCCATTCAGCAAAAATGGGAAACCATTTCAACAAACACATTTCCCCTATTGCCTCAGCTGCCAGGAAGCACCGAGTGAAGCTTCATGCTAACCTAGATCATAGATGCCTGGTGCATCCATACGTATTTGTAAATTCTGTTTCGATGTGTGTTTAACAAGTGCCAGTTTTCCTTGGGTCCTGTAGATCCTCACATGGCTCTCTGCTGTGTCTTGCATAGCCCCTACTTCTTCGTGTAGGATACTGCTTCCCCAGCAGCCCTTTCTAATTTAGGCCTCTTGTTTTCTCATACTCCACATGCCTCCACACTGGAGCGTGGGAGATGTTTTCTCTGTTTATCAAGATTCTTTCTTTTGGGTGAAAGCAGCTGAAATTAATTCACACCAATCTAAGCACAAAGTAAATGAATAAAGTAATATTTAACAACAACAGCAACAGCCAAAAAAGCCCATAATGGTTCTGAGATTAGAGTGAAGTTCAGGTACGGCTGGATCCAGGTACCCAAGTGCTGATGTCAGGACCGTCTTTCACAAATTTTCATTTCTGCTTTCTTCTGTATAAACTTTCATCTCATAAAGCCTCTTCTTTCCTGGTGACAGGCTCACCTCCCACCAGCTGGGCAACTCCAGTAGAAATAAAGAACCTTTTTCTTTAGTTGCAGCAAATGTCTCAGGGTTGGTTCTCACTGGCCAGGTTAGGTCACATGCCTTCCCTGAACCAATTACTGTGACCAAGGAAACAGAATAAACTGATTGGCTAGGTTGGGATCTTATGTCTCTGGAGCTGGTGCGGTGAGGGTTATGGCCAGCCCTATTCAAATTTAATAGAGTGAGAGCCGAAAGAAATGGTTCCCCACAAGAAAGCTGAGTGAGGGCAAAGCTGGGGAGGGCAAATCCTAGAAACTTTGGCTATAGTATCCTTTTCCCTGTCCAAAGCTGCATCCAGAATACCGGTCCCCTGTGGATTAGTAAACCGTCCCCTACACACACACACACACACACACTCGGTTCCCTAGCCAATCCTAATGCTTTAGCCACTCCTTGGTGACCTTGTACCTCTCTCTTCTTACTTCACTAGTAGAAAGATACCATTTCTCTGCTCTTTTAAAAAGTAGGTGTGTTTGGGTTTTACATATTTACTTGACATAACTTAATCATTCAACAGTGGGAACTTGAAAAGGGAGTGAGGGAGGCAAGGAGGTGGGGCTGGGGTACAAAGGGTGCCACACTGGAGGAGCGGGGTGAGGTGGGGGGTACTGGCTGCAGGGATGGGGGCAGAGGGGCTGCGGACCGAGAGGGAATGGTGAGATACAGAGGGGGAGGGATTGTAGAGCTGCGGTAGGGGTGGCGAGAAGCGGGGGTTCTCCGTGGATAAGGACGAGGAGATGGAGGAAGCAGAGCTGGGCGACTTGCAGGGGGTGGGACTGGTGGTCTGAGGGGCCCAACCGGGGGTGGGAAATGGAGGGGTGGGCCGGGGGTGAGGGTTAAAGGGTGCGGTGTCAGGTCAGAGTGAACTGGGTGGTTCGGGAGAGGGCTGGTGTCGGAACTTGGCGAGAGAGGCTGGGCCAGGAGGCGCGGCCCGCGGACCTTGCGGGCGACACTGCCGAGGAAGCCCGCGGCTAGGGGTGTGGCTGGGGGGCGGTGTACGCCGCGGTATTCCCCCCCCCCCCCCCGGGAGTTCCAGGTCTTCGCCTCTGGTCCCGCCTCTTTCTGGGAAGTGACACACCCGTCGTCCAACCGGAGCCGCGGGCCGGGCGCGGCGCAGCCAACGGCGCGGCGGGGGGCGGAGCTGGGGAGGGGGCTCGCTGGGCCAGGGGAGGGGGCTAGGGGCCTCGAAGGGCTCCGGAGCGGCGACGGCGAGCCATGGCGCTGGGGCTACAGCGCGCAAGGTACTCGGGTTCGGGGCAGGAATGATGGGAAGCGGGGGGCTCTCCTTCCAGGGACCCCCCGAGCCGGGTGGGGGATGCACGGGTGCAAGCCGAGGACGCCCCGGGACGCGCGGTTGGAGGCACATCCCCGGCGCACCCTCCACCCTACGGGATTGCAGGCAAGGGGGATTTCCCCAAGTCCCTGGCTGCCCCGCCCCGCCCCTTTAGCCCGGAGTGACTTCAGGGTGGTGATCCCCAATTTCCTGCTGCTCCGGGTTCGCTTTCCCTCCAGGTTAGGGTCCGTACGGAATTGGGGGTGCTTGTGTTCGAGTAGTTCCCGGGCTTCTGCGGAAGGCATTCTCTTTCCACGTATTGAACCTACTGGCCTCCGAATTCCCAGAATTGAGGTTGTTCCTTGCCACGGGACTCTGGGGATCCTAGGGTATATGGGGTAACCGCCAAACTAAGCCTTCCCAGATCCAGGGAGTCCCTTGGAATGGGAAGTCAGATTCTGAGTTCAAGAGCAGAGAGAGATCCCCTATAATTGGATGCTCCCTGACAGTCTCTCAAACCTTGGGTTCCTTAGAAATAAGCAGGGAGGGGGTCCCCTTTCAGCAACTACCTGGGACCGTTCCCAGGGACCTTTTTGTATCCTTTTGAAAGGTAGAGTCACCCCTTTTAATAACAGAGAAACAGCCTGACCCACTTCCCAAAGTCTAGCCCCTTATCTCCCTCTCCACCCCCACTCAGTGCCTGTGACTGTGGACAGGGGCACACCATCCAAGCCTTATTTGGGGAATCCCCCATGGAGGGTGCTGTGCCTGATTCAGTGCAAGCCTTGATGGGAGCACCCCCTGCCGAAGTGTTCAGCTGGGTCCTACTGGCCAGAGGGTAGGTTTCTGTGATCACCTCCATCTGCTGAGTGCTCTGGGTCCAATGCCAGGGGGTCTACCTGGCCATGTTTTCTTGGGGCCCTGGAAAATCTTGCAGGCCCTTGGTTTCCCTTGTCCAATCTGAGGCATCCAGGAAGCCTCACCCCCTTCCCTCCTCCCTGGCTTCCCAGGTCTGATTGGGTCTGTCCACACCCCCATGTTTTTTAGTCCCCCCTCCCCTGCTGTTCCCCCCTTCAGTTCTATTCCAGTCTCTGGCTCTGGGCCTGCCAGGGAACTCCATCCCACCCCTTCTGGGCCAGTCTCAGCGCAGCCCCTCCCAGCGCCCCCTCCTGGCTAGGTGGGGGCCCCTCTTGGCTGAGCTGGGGCGCTCCCCCCCTCCCCACCAAGGCCAGCCCTTTCCTGTGGTGTCATCCCAGTGCTGCGCACCACCCACTCATAACTCGCACCCGGATCCTGGCCACGCTCCGTCCCCTCCTGCACCCCTAGGATGGCCCTTGGGCCAAAGGGGGCCTGGGTGATGGTGAGTGGGCCCCCGTACCTCCTCACCCCTTTCCCTTCTTCCAGCTCAGGCTTACTGCCATCCTACCCCGGGCAGGGATGTTCTTGGGAAGTCCCTGATGGGTATAAGGGCCCGGGTGCCCCCCAGATCCGAGGGTTCCCAGAGAAGATGGACTTTGGGTACAGGTACCCCACTGGATTACCATGTCCTTGGGAATGAGCAGAGGCAGAGGCAGAGAGACTCCTCCTGACTGACCCCACCCCAAGTCCTTTCTCAAACCCAAACCCTGCTTCTGGACAGCCTAAGGCCCCATAGATCCTCTATACTTTCTTCAAGACCCCCACTACCCGCTCAGTGTCAGAAGAGAGAGGGCCAAGAGCAGCCCTGAATGTGGCTCAGGGTCTTCCTACTTTCTCCTTGCCTTTGCTCTCTGGTGGCAGTTTCTTCAGAGGTGGGCTTCTCCCTCTCTCGGTTGGGCGGGGGGTACTGGGCCCCAGCCCCCATTCCCAGGCCTCACTCTGGGGCCTCCAGACCCTGGCCCCGCCTTCTGTTCTCTGCTGGAACACAGAGGAAGGGTGGCAGGGTTCCAGCTGCACGTCCCAAGCTGGGCAGGGTGCCAGGGGGCTGGACCAGGGCTGGGCATGGGGCCAGCTGGGGAGGCTGGCCAGCTGGGGAAATCCGGAGGCAGCAGAGGTGGGACAAGGGGAAGGCACTGAGGCCACCGGGCAAAGGAGGGACAGGGCAGGGGCCCCTGGGGTGGACGTGCCCACCCAGGCATGCACTTAAGAGCAGAGACCCTAAAGTCAGGTTCAGATCCCCGCTCATCTGCTTCTTGGGTGGGTGGCCTTGGGCCAGTGACTGCCTCTCTGAGCCTCAGTGACATATCCTGGAAAATGGGGGGTCATACCTCCCCTCCCTTGCACCACATCAAAATAAGGAGCAGTGAGGGAACCGATCTTTAGGGGCAAGATACCCCACAGGTTGCAATAAACTGTGCTCAAGTCAGACAGTGTTCTGGGTAGAAGTAGATACAGCATGGGACTCACTGAGATGCGTGGAACAGAGTTGCACTGTGTGGTGGGGGGGGGGCCTGATTACCAGCTGGGTTACTTGGGCCAGTGATGCCATTGCTCAGAGCCTCAGGTTCAGGCCCTGTGAAAGGGAGACCACTTTTCCTGCTGCATCGGGCTATTGAGAGGATTTAAGGGGGTCTCTAGCTCCTTGAGTGCTCAGTACAGCAAAGCGATCATGATGATTACTCTCATGATGCTTTGGTCTACTTCCAGGGCGCCTGTGTGAAGGTCTTGTACACACACCACACCACGGGGTTACCACCAAAGCCCACAGGTCTCTCCAGTGCGCAGGAGACTCCGGAGCCTTCCGTCCCTGATGTCGACAAAGAGGGAATAATAAAAAGTTTAGCCTTCTCATGGCACTTACCAATTGCCAGGCCCTGTCCTAAGTCCTTGACGTATATGAATTCATGTAATCTTTAAAACAACCCTGTGGGGTTGTGTCGTTATGCTCAGGGAAGGCCTGCAATTTGTCCCAAAGTAACACAGCTCTTACGTAGTGGAGTCGAGACTGGAACCCTGCTCTGGGCGAACTCATCCCTGCTCAGTTTAACGAAAGAAAGGCTGGAGACCCAGGCTTCTCTGAAGCCAGGACTTCCTGTCAGAAGAACATCCGGAGGTCAGGCTGGGAGCTGGAAGGAGGGTCCCGTGCAGCCACCAGCTGGCTCCTTCTATGGAGGGAGAAGTCAGCCACAGAGAGGATTGCTGAGCCCAGCTGCCCAGGAGGTGGGGGGCCGGCCCCACCCCCATCCCCCACTCCCGCTCCCACTCCCTCTTCCCTCTGTCTGGGCCCCCGGCTCGGGGAGGCCCGCCCACCCCCACCCTCTGGGCAGGAAGACAAACAGGGCTGGAACAGAACAGGACAGCACGGAATGTCCTCTGGGCAGAGTAGGGCTGGAGGCCCCTGCCTCCCACCAGCCAGGAGGGAGGGGATGGGGGTGACTGCTGGCTCCCTCCACCCCTCCACCCAGCCTGCCCCCTTCTGTGCCTCCCACTGGTTGCATGGAGTTTTTTCCATCTGCAGCCTGACAGGACAGTCCCCTCCCCTCTCCCCATCAGGCCTGTGGGTGGGGCTGCAGGTCTCCTGCTTGGCCCCGAGGTTGATGCCATCCCCAGGAGTGGCCTCTGGTTTTTGGAAGGGACAGCCTCCCTTCCTAGAGTTCTGCTTCCCCGGGGTGGGTCACAAGGAAGGGATCAGAGAGAAGAAGGAAGGCTTTGGAACTGCACTGCCCGAGTTCAAATCCCGGCTCTGCCAGTACTAGCTTTGTGACTTTTTGGGCAAAGGACTTTACCTTTCGGAGCCCCGGTGTCCCCTTTGTGAAGTGGAAATTTAAGGTGCGTCCTGGGATTGAATGAGTGCACGCAGGCAGAGTACTTAGAACAGGGCCAGACCCATGCATGCTCAGCAAATCGTAACTGCTTATTAACGGTTTTATCAATATTATAAATATACAGAAGATTATGCATACTGTACTATATGTAATATACTCCGGTTTTTTTTTTTTTTTCAAAACCTGTTGTTTGGATTCAGACATTTAAGACAGTGAGAAGCACTAACCTGGAGATAAACCCAGGGCCATAGAACAGAGAAAACTGAAGAGCTCAGGCAGACCACTGTTCAAACCTGCCTTCACTCCTTAGGAGCAAGCACTACAACCTCTCTGTGCCTTGGTTTCCTCATCTGTTCAATGGGGATATCCACGTTATTACCTTCTTTCTGGGGTTGTCTGAGCTCTTAGTGGGTTAATGTAAGTTACCCACTTGGCACAGGGCACTGATGGAAAAAAGCTGGATAAGTGGCAGATATTTCTGACAAAACAGTCCTCATCCCTCTTCCCCTCCCCCCCCATCCCACATTTGAAGCGGATTAAAGGGTAGGGGTGAGTGGTTAGCTGTTGGCTCCAGAGAACACTAGGGTTGGTTTGCTGTATGACATCGGCAGGGCCCCTGTTGGTGGGTGGTTGGACTTTGAGATCTGTGTTCTAAGATTCTGAGGATTCAGCTCAGCTGAGGAGGGGAAAGGGCAGGAGAGGGGGTTCTGGGAGGCTGGAGGGCAGGGGGCCCGGAGGCTGCTGACATCTTCATGTTCCCTCCCTTCCCTGGCTTGGGGCCAGCTCGGCCAGCCCCCTCCCAGCAGGAGGCCTCCCTGTCCCCCAGGCGTCCCAAGCCCGGGGAACAAACAGCAGATAAGTCAGGGAGGGGACAGCGGGCCCCGGGCACGCCTTAGAGAGCGAGGCGCTGGGGGCAGCCTGGGCTGGCGCAGGGACAGATAAAATCTGCGGCTAGGAGCTGCCCCGGAGTATAACCCTCGCAGGCCCAGAGAGCTCCGGGAACTCAGCTCCGGGCCACACAGCGAGCCCTGCACGGTCGCGGCCCTGCCCCCTGGGAGCCCGGGCCCCATGTGGCAGCGCCCCACGTGCATGTCCCATCCAACTCTTTCCCTTCCGGGGGCGCCGCCAGTGAACGCTGCCGATGCCCGCAGGTCGAGCACGGAGCTGCGCAAGGAGAAGTCCCGGGATGCGGCCCGCAGCCGGCGCAGCCAGGAGACCGAGGTGCTGTACCAGCTGGCGCACACGCTGCCCTTCGCTCGCGGGGTCAGCGCCCACCTGGACAAGGCCTCCATCATGCGCCTCACCATCAGCTACCTGCGCATGCACCGCCTCTGCGCCGCAGGTGAGCCCCGCCCCCGGGAATTCCCACCTCGACAAGGCCCCGCCCCTTCACAGATTCCCGGCGGAGCCCCACCCCCTGGGAGCGGCTTCCCTGGCGAGGCCCCGCCCCCCTCGCTGGTCTATCACGTGCGAGGCCCCGCCCCTTGGGAAGCCCCACCTCCTTCGGGTTGGCATTCTAAGGAATTGGAGGCCCGCTAACTCCCTTGGGTGCTTCAACCCGTAGGATTCGGTCCCCAGGGAGACCTTCTTGCAGTAAATATCCCTGCGAGGCTTAGCTGCCCAATTTTTAATGACCACTTGAGAGAGTCCCCTCCCTAGCTCCCTAGGTCTGCCTCCCCTCCCCGCCATTCTCTTGAATTCCCACCCAGTTAGAATTCTACCCTGCAGGGGGCTTTCATACACACACACACACACACACACACACACACACACACACACACACACACAAACACACACAGCCCCCCTTGGAATCCCCGAGACCCTGAAAAGATTTTATTTACAAGGTCACCTGGGAGTCCCTGCTTTATTAGAATTCTGCCCATCTACAAGGTCTTGCCCCAAGAATTCTGAAATTCTGAACTCCTGGGAGGCTTGCCCCCCGCTTAGAATTCTGACTCCCTCTAGCTCCTGGCCCCTTAAATTTTGACCCCTGGGAATCCCATCCTTTTAGAGGTCTGTCCCCGTAGCAGGCCCACCCCCTTAGAATTTGATTCTCATGGGAGACCCCCACCTCCTTAGAATTCTGTGCCCTTGGGAAGCCCTGCCCCCTGAGGATTATAATCATTGGTGGCCCTGCCCCCTTCCTTGGGACTCCCAAACCACTGGCATATATTCTTGCTCACCTGGGGGCACCTGCAAGTTCTTCTGAGTGAGGGAAGGCAGAGGGAGGCTAGCCAGGGTGGCTCCGTGGCTGACTAGAGACACTCCATCCACCCTGATGCGGACACCAGGGGAGTGGAACCAGGTGGGAGCAGGGGGCGAAGCTCTGGATGCCTGCTACCTGAAAGCCCTGGAGGGCTTCGTCATGGTGCTCACTGCCGAGGGAGACATGGCTTACCTGTCGGAGAATGTCAGCAAACACCTGGGCCTCAGTCAGGTGAGAGGAGCTGTCTGCTTTGTGCCTGGCCCTGTGCAGGTGATGCCAGGATACAGAGGTGACCGAGACTGCCCTAGCCCTGCCTTTACAGGGCTCACAGCACAGAGGGGAGACAGATGTGTCACCAGACAGGAAGATGCAGAAGGGTCAGGGCTGGGATGGGGCAGCCTAGGGGGGCCCTGTGAGCCAGGGGAAGGGGGTTACCTGAGCCAGCCTCAAGGGGGAGTCGAGGGCTTCCTGGAAAAGAAGACATCTGAGCTGAAACCTGAAGGACTTAGCCAGTCAGAAGTTATGGGGAATGGATGGGAACAGAGAAGACTGGGAATGTGCATGGCTGAGGGAACAGAATATGCAAAGACCCAGAGGTGAGATAAAACAGAGCACTGGGGGGAAATAAAGATGTTTATCCTGGCTAAGTGCAGAGTGCAGTGGGAAAGGTGAGAGAAAAAAGTCTAGAGAGGTCAACAGAGCTGGATAATTTAGGGCCAAATTAGGTTTATTGCCAGGGCACTGGGGAACCGTGGATGGATTTTCATCAGGGGAGAGGCTGTGAGAGAGGCAGAATCGGATTTACCATTTGAAAAGCTCCCTCTTGGTTCCCACAGAGGTAGAGTTGGAGGGATAAGACTAGAGGCTGAGGGTCCATCCACAGGGAGGGGTGCAGGGCCCTGGTTGGGAGAAGAGGAGTGTGAGCAGCGGTCTGGGGACAGGAAGGCAGGAGACACAGGGGAGAACTGATTTCAGCAAATCCATACAGCATGCCCCACAGGAGAGTTATTGTTCTTTCTCCTATTTCACATAAATGGGCTCCATAGTTGGCATCTATTCCTTTCTCCTTCCTTGTTATCCCACTCCTGGTACCAATTTCTCTGTTAGCTTGAGCTCTTCTTGGGTTCAGAGAGGTGAATGTCCCAAGGCCCCAAAGCTAGGAAGTGGCAGAGCCAGGATTTGAATCCAGCTACAGGAGGTGCCGTCAGAGGAGAGAGATCCCTCTCCACCGGACTGTGAGCTGTGGAGGCCCCCTCCTGCCAGCACCATGCCCATTTCCTGAATTGAAACAACCTGCCGAATCTTTGGCTTGGCAAACAGTGGGATCTGAATGGGGTCTCACCTCAGGGCCTTTGCACTTGCTGTTCCCTCTTTTCAGAACACTCCAGAGAGCCACATGACCACCTCCCTGGCTTGGTTCAGCAATTTGTTTAAATATCACCTCAAGACACAGACTCTGACCACGGCCTCTAAGATAGCATGCCATCATTTCATGGCCTTACGCTAGTTTTCTTCCTAATACTTACCATTTTGTTTTATATCTGTGTTGTTTTGTTTTATTTGTTTCCTTATTGACCATCTACCCCGCTAGCCAGTAAGCTCTGAGAGGCAGGGATTTTGTCTGTGTGGTCACAGCTCTGCCTACCCATCTGGAAGGGGGCCTGGCTATAGCAGGTGCTAAAGCCATGGTTGCTCAGTGAGCGTGTGAGTGAGTGAATGAATGAATGAACGAATGAACAAATGAATGAATGGACTAGTGAAGTAATCCAGGCTCGTGAATCAGCACAGGGATGGTGAGGATGGGAAGGAGAACTCCGGTGAAAGTGCTCTTCCTCCCAGACACCCTCTGCTTCCCTCCCTGGCAGCTTGAGCTCATCGGACACAGTATCTTTGATTTCATCCATCCCTGTGACCAAGAGGAGCTCCAGGACGCCCTGACCCCCCAGCAGAGTGAGTTCCTCAGAGGCCTCTGACCCTGGTTATAGAAGCTGAGGCTCCACCCTCCCCTCAGCATATCCCCTCCTCCTCTGGACGACTGGACTGAGGAAGATGGAAGAGGGGACATGGCCCTGCCCTGGGGTATCTGAAGGAGCATTCCCTCCCCGTGGGGGCCGCTCCCTGGTTCCAGGTCTCAACTCTGGGGAATGAGGCTGGCGGGGTGCTGGAGGGAACTGGGCCCTGTCCAGAGCCTCCTGGTGACCTGCTCACCCCCCTCCCCGTGGCCCTCCCCAGGCCTGTCCAAAAAGAAGCCGGAGGCTCCCACCGAGCGGTGCTTCTCCTTGCGCATGAAGAGCACCCTCACCAGCCGCGGGCGCACCCTCAACCTCAAGGCGGCCACCTGGAAGGTGGGCAGGGCCTGGCCTGGAGGAGGGTAGAGGTTTCTCCTTCTCAGCTCCCAGTGGGGCCCCCAGAGACATACCTCCCAGCCCCATGGGAGCCCCAGGCCCACGTGCATCCCTGCCTTGCCCCCCTCACCCCAACCAGGTGCTGCACTGCTCTGGACACATGAGGGCCTACAAGCCCCCTGCACAGACTTCCCCAGCAGGGAGCCCCAACTTGGAGCCCCCCCTGCAATGCCTGGTGCTCATCTGTGAAGCCATCCCCCACCCGGGCAGCCTGGAGCCCCCACTAGGCCGGGGGGCCTTCCTCAGCCGCCACAGCCTGGACATGAAGTTCACCTACTGTGATGAGAGGTGGGCAGGAGCCCCGCTGCCCCCCCCACCCCTCCACTGGCCCGGCTCCTCTTCCTTTCTGCCCAGGGTCCCTCACTGGTTCTTCTTCCGCCCCCTGGTTCTCCCTCTGGTCCATCTCCATCTCTCTCTGATGCCATCTATCTCTGTCTCTGTGGCTGTCCGTCTTGGCATTCTCTGTGGGTCTTTTTACCTTGGGTTCTCTCCCTGTCCCCTTTGAGTCTTCATTACTCCCTCCCTGTCCTTCTGTTGCTTTCCTTAAATGAGTCGGTGCGCCTAAAGCAGTTAGCGCAGTGCCCAACACGGAAGGCAGCACTCAGCACACTGTCCTTATTCATCGCCCCCCCATCCTTCCCTTTCTCTCTCCTTCTCTTCCTCCCTCTCCCCCTCTCTCCCTTCAGCCCTTCATGTTCCTGCGTCTTCCCTCCTTCCCTCGCCCTGGAGTCATGCTTGGGAGTGGCAAGCCTGGGCTCCGTCAGCTCGGGTTTAAAGCCTGGCTGTGTACCCTTGGCCAAACGCGGGCGCCTCTCTGCACCGTGCTCTCCTGGTCTGTCCTGTGGAGTGAAACCAGAACCTCCTTAGAGCAGTTGTTCTGAGCACCCAGTGTGTTGCCTGGTGCAGAACACTATAGAGCTGTGTTTAAAAAAAAGAAAAAAATTTTTTTTTATTCAGTGGGGCTCGAACTCATGACCCTGAGATCAAGAGTCACATGCTCCACCGACTAAGCCAGCCAGGCACCCCCAGAAGTGTATATTTTTAATCATTATCATCATTATTATGTCTTATTTTATTCATTTCTTCCTATCTTTCTTTTTCTGGTTTTCTTTCTTCCTTTCTCTTCCCCCGCTCCTTTTCTCTCTTCTTTTTCTTTTTTCTTTTTAAAGACTTATTTATTTATTTTGAGAGAGTGAGAATGAGAGAGAGAGAGAGAGAGAGAGAGAGAGAGAGAGTGCACATGAGAGGGGGGAGGGCCAGAGGGAGAAGCAGGTTCCCCGCTGAGCAGGGAGCCCGACGCGGGACCCGATCCCGGGACTCCAGGATCATGACCTGAGCCGAAGGCAGTCGCGTGACCAACTGAGCCACCCCGGCGCCCTCTCTCTTCCTTTTCTTTACTCGCCCTGTCCCCATCACGCCTGTCCCTTTCCTGCTGCGTCTGTAACAATCACCACAAGCCAAGGGGCTCAGCACAACGCACGTTCACCGTCTCAGCGCTCTGGAGGCTCCTTGCCTTAAACACTTCTGGAATCTTCCTACATTCCTTGGTTTGGAGCCCTTTCCTCCATCTTCAAAACCCATGGCCCTGCCATCTGCCTCCACAGAACGTGTCCTGTTCTCCGAATCTCTCTGTAAGGGCCCCTGTCGCCACAGGGGGCCCATCTGGCTTGTCCAGGTGAAGCTCCACATCTCAAGACCCTTCCCTTAATCAGCCCCGCAGAGGCCCCCCCCCCCCCCCCCGCAGAGGTCGTAGTAGTCACAGGTCCCCGGGATTAGGAGGCGGACCTCTCCGAGGGCCATTGTTCAGCCTGTCACAGTCCCTTTTCTCTTTCTTACTCTCCCTTTCTCTCTGTTACAACCCTGTCTGTCTCTGTCTTGCTGGCTTCATCCCTGTATCCCCCAGCCCCACCCTCCACCTCAGCCAGTTGAACTGACCGGGCCCCACTGCACCCACCCCAGGATCGCGGAGGTCGCTGGCTACAGCCCTGATGATCTGATCGGCTGCTCCGCCTACGAGTACATTCACGCTCTGGACTCGGACGCTGTTGGCCAGAGCATCCACACCCGTACGTGAGACTTCCTGGCACTCTGAAACCAGCTCCTCAGCTCCCCATGCTCCAGGGAGCCTCCCCCCACACCCCGACTCCAGCTCCCTGCTCCCCACGCCCCAAGGAACCTTCTCTTCCCTGGTCCCTGGTACCCAAGCCCCTGCCCCCAGCGCCTTTTCTCCCCATCTGCCCCTTCTATGGCCCTGACCCCTCCCCGTCCCCCTCCCCAGTGCTGAGCAAGGGCCAGGCAGTAACGGGGCAGTATCGCTTCCTGGCCCGGAGTGGTGGCTATCTGTGGACCCAGACTCAGGCCACAGTGGTGTCAGGGGGCCGGGGTCCCCAGTCTGAGAGTATCGTCTGCGTCCACTTCCTGATCAGGTAAGTGGGAGGGGGTGTGCGTGGGTCTGGTCTGCATGGGTGTGGTTAGGTGTGTGTGCGCACACATGACTGTGAGAGGGAGTGCTCACATGGCCGTGTATGCAGACCGTGTGTGACTGGGTGCACACAGGTGTGTCTGCATGTACGCACACGTGCGTGGGTGTGTGTACACCCACGCACGTGTGCGTACTGTTCACTGAAATTGAAAAGTACTCTATATCCAAATTAAAATAAGAAATCTAGCAGAATCATGGGGGCTTTTTTGCTTTTTAAAAATTGAAGTGTAATTTACATATAATAAATTCACTTCTTGCTCTACGGTACTATGAGTTTTGACAAAGGCGTGGGATTGTGTAATCACTTCCACAATCAAGCTATAGAGAATCACCCAAAAATATTTTGTTATAGTGAATCCCACCTCCCCTAACCACCCCTCACCCCCACCCCGAGTCCCTGGCAACCACCGAGCTGTTCTGTGACCCCTAGCATTTTGCCTTTTCCAGAATGTCATGTTCACAGAATCCTGCAGGATGGAACATTTTGAGTCTGGCTTCTTTCCCTTAGCATAATATATTTAAAATGGATCTCTGCTGTGTGTATCACAGTCACTCCTTTTTAATGTTGAGTGGTGTTCTACGGTTTGAATATGAACAGACCAGAGTTTGTTTATCCATTCGCCAGTTGGAGGACATTTGGGCCGGTTCCTATTTCGGGTGATTACGAAAAAAAGCTACTGTAAACATTCTCATAGAAGATTTTGTGAGGTCATGTTTTCGTTTCCCTTGGATAAACACCTAGGCATGGTCAGTGTATATTTAACTTCATAAGAAACTACCAGGTCATTTTCCCAAAAGCCTGCACCATTTTGCCTTCCCACCAGCAATGTGAGGGTTCCCGTTCTCCTGCATGGCTGCCAGCATTTTGTGTTGTCTGTTTTTGTCTTCTTTGCTTTTAATTTTAACCATTCTAATGGATGTGCAGTGGTAAATCACAGGCTGTCCTCCACTGCATTCAGCATATTAGAAGTTTTTCACCATGACAACATTGTGACAAGGGGCAGCAGATTAGCACAGAAAACAGAGAATTACAGCTTTTCTTTGCAAATTATCTTCCAGGACATGGTATCAATTTCTAAAGCCTTAGGTGTTTCCCTACTCCTTTTTGATCAAGGACAGATTCTATTTGAAGACGGAAGTGGGGACGGGAGCCTGGGTGGCTCCAGTCAGTTAAGCATCTGGCTCTTGATCTCAGCTCAGGTCTCGAGATCTCACAGTTGTGAGTTCAAGCCCCATGTTGGGCTCCATGCTGGGTGTGGAACCTACTTAAAAAAAAAAAAAAAGCGGGTAGCAGGAATATCCATAGTCTTTGTATGGCACAAGAAAACAAGACTGATCGTCTGTGGAATGTTCTCATTTTAACACCTTTCCAAATCAGAGTCTGAATAACTTGTCCACATAGCAAGAGGGGCCTCGCCATTGTCACTGCGAAGGAGAGGGGACCAGGCCCTGTGGTTTCAGTCTTCTGTACTCTAAGCAAAGAGCAGGCCCGGAGCGTTCATCTTCATTGGCAGACTTGGGTGAAGAAGGAATAGCTTACTTAATTACAGTGAAATAAGGAGCGTATGGTATTAATTGTCCTTGTTATGTGTACGTTATGTGGTGTGCAGTTGTGTGGCTATTTGTGTGTGCTCAGATGCTTATACTTTGTAGTATAAAAACTCCTCCCCTTCCAGACCTAAGCCTCCCTCCATTGCAGTGAGCAATTGCTTTATAAGAATAAAACTCATTTACACAGGGCACTGCTGAATCTTCAGCACCTAGAACAGCGCCTGGCACCTAGTAGTTGTTCAATAAACAAGAATCGCAAATACTTACATAGAGCTCACCATTTGCCAGGCACAGTTCTATGCATTTTATGTGTATTAGCCCACTGAGGCCTCCTAATAACCTGGGGAGGAGGTATTATTATTTTTTTTTTAGATTTTATTTACTTATTTATTTAAGAGAGAGAGAGCATGAGCAGGGAAGAGCATTAGAGGGGGAGTAGTAGACTCTCTGATGAGCAGGGAGCCCGATGCGGGACTCGATCCCAGGACCCTGGGATCATGACCTGAGCTGAGGGCAGACGCTTAACCAACTGAGCCACCCAGGCGCCTGGGAGGAGGTATTATTATATTGCCTCTTTACAGAGGAGGAAAATGAGGCGCAGAAAGGTTCAGCCACAGGCTCGAGGTCACACAGCTTCTAAGTGGCACGGCTGGGATTTGACCCCAGGCTGCTGGCTGTAGGTCCATTGCTCTTAGCCACCAGACAGTACTAGTTGTCTAGGACATGTTTATGGAATGAACGAATGAATGAACGAATGAGTCAACTTCATGTGCCGAATATGCACATGCGTGAGCGTGGGAATAGGGATTATGAGTGCACATCTGTCTGTGTATACACTTGGATGTATATGAGTGCTCCTGTTTGTGCTCCCGTGAACCGTGCGTATACATGTGGGCCAGGTGCATGCTGGCGTTTTTTCAAAAAGGGGAAGGTGTGGCTTTGGTCCAGCCTAAACTGGGAGGTGGTCCAGCCCAGAAGGGGTTTGGTGAGGGTGGGGAAGGGGTGTAGCTTCTCCAAGAGCCAGTGGGAAGACCACCCATGTGCTAGCCTGGGTATTGTTATGCAAATGAGATGCAAACGAGGGCCTGGTTTTCAGCCCCCTGGCCAATTCTCCAAAAGCCGATTGGGCTCGGAACATTTGGGTTGTCTCCGCAGCTAGAGACTGGGGAGAAGGTAGGCGCGGGGGCATAAGAAGGATATATTTATAAATCCATTCCCTTGAATATGAAAAATGTCTATGAATAGAAACTTCATAAATAAAATCTTATTCATTAAAGTATATCCCTCTGAATTCTTCATATTTGGTAATGTAAGAATGTTAAATACATATAATTCATCAATCATTTATAAGAGTATGTTTATAAGTAAATATAAAGAGAATATTTCGTTCTTATGCCTTTTGACTCTCACCTCTGTTCCCCGTTCCCCCCCACCCATCTCCCCTTTCTATCCAAGCTGTGTTAAATGCCAACTCTTTTTTTTTTTTTTCCCTGTCTCCTTCCACAGAGAGAGCTTGGGAAGACACACATAACTTTATTTTAAATGCTATTGTAATAAAAAGCATCCAACCAAAATTAAATCCATAAAAGAAACAAGTAAATGTGGCAAATTATTTTCTGCACAATGCCCTCCTGCCCCTGAACAAGATCACCTCCTGTGATGGGACATCATCTAAGGGGGCTGCCTGGGCCGGGTCCCGAGGACGCTCCCTGACATCCGCTCCCCTTTTTGCCCTATACCCCAGCCGGGTGGAGGAGACCGGAGTGGTGCTGTCCCTGGAGCAAACGGAGAGACACTCTCGCAGACCCGTTCAGAGGGGCACCCCTTCCCAGAAGGATGCCCCTAATTCCGGGGACAGCTTTGGTATGGGGCAGGGCTGGGACTGGGAGGGGTTGCGGCCCCAGGACGCTTGACAGAAAGCCCAGACGCTTTAAGAATGGGGCTCACCAGGCCCTGTGTGACCTGACTCCCGCCTCCCTCCCCTTCTCACTCACTTTGAGCTCCCAGCTTCCTTAGTGCTGTCGGAATGCTAGTCTCTCATGCCTCCCGGCCTGTGCACTGGCAGCTTCCTCTGCCCAGAATGCTCTTCTCTCTTCTGTCCTTCCACTTCTCCTCTGTCCCTGGGATGATTGCTTCAGTCTTGTTGCTCCTCTGCTTGGAATCCTGCTATGGCTCCCCATTGCCCCCACCCTTCAGCTGGTTCCCTGCTCCCACCTCACTGCTCACTGGCATCCAATAATCCTGATCCTCCTGGGTCTGGCTCCTTTCTCCCTCTTCCTTCTTTCCCACCTGACCCCCCCCCCTCCAATCCTGGAGGAGTTTCTCTTCCGGTTGGTTCTTCAAGGCCATCACCTTCTTCAAGCTGTTGCTGGCAGCCCATGCTCCTGGGTGTGGTGTGGGGGTCACTGGTATCCTTTCCTTTTCTGGCTCAAAACTCACCTCCAGGGACCTTAGAACCTTCTTGAGGGCCTGGGGCCAGTCTTTTCTCCTAATATGCAAGCCCCCCCCGCCCCGGAGCGGAGTGGCTGATTGCTGCTCTGTGCCATTGGAGAATCGGGTCAGTCGTGTGCCTTGGTCTGGCCATGCTGATTTTAAATACTAAAACGTTTCCCCATCATTGGGCAGTTGCTACTCTCCCCAGCCTACTGTGTGCCCCCCACCCCACACTGGCCCCTCTAGGACCCTTCAGGGTCTCACCACAGTCTGGCAACTGGAGGGATAGAACCTGGTCCCGCAAGGGTTCTCCAGAAATCAGCTCCCCAGCACTGTGAACAGCCTCCACCCTGTTTATAGAAAATGTCAACGAAGCTCCCTGGGGTTGGTGGGGAGGGCTCTGCCCCTCAGCCCTGGATAACCATCCTGTGTCCTCCCCATCTGTGTGTCCCGTAGATGCCTCTGGTCCCCGGATCCTGGCCTTCCTGCACCCCCCTGCCCTGAGCGAGGCCACCCTGGCCGCTGACCCCCGCCGCTTCTGCAGCCCTGACCTGCGTCGCCTCCTGGCACCTATCCTGGATGGGACTTCAGGAGCCGCCACCCCCAGCGCACCCCCAGCCACACGGCGCCCCCAAAGTCCTCTTCCAGTAAGCCGTCCCTCCCAAGTAAACCCTCAGCATCCAGGCTGCTTTGGCCTTTGGCTTGAATCTTGCTATTCTCTGGGCCTCAGTTTCTCCCTCTGTGCAGTGGGAAGGTTGGGGTGAGATGGGGTTCCTTTAAGACCTAGATCCCAGATTCTTCAACTGTTATCTGGACCAAAACCTAGGTCACTGGGGACTGGCACGGGTGACCCCTCCCTCCTCCTGCTTGTGACCCATCATCCAGGCTCTCAGAGTCAAGAATGTCTAATGTCTTAAATGACACAGACCAGGATTCAAATCCTAAATCTGCCACTTACCAGCTATGTTACCCTGGACACGTGGCCCCTCAGCGTCTTCATCTATAAAATTAGGATCATAGCAAGTAGCCATCTCATTGGTGTAAGTGAGGGTTCATTGCGATCATTCATGGGAAGCGCTTAGTAGACACCTGATACCTAGCAGGTGCTCGATATACCATAGCAGTTACTTTTTTTTACTTGAGTTCAGATAGTGTGACCTCTGACTCGGGGGCCCATATTATCTGGTGTTGACTCTCCTCATCCTTCCCCAACCCCCCACGCCTCCCAGATCTTCTCTCCACCAGAGAAATAAGACGGTGGCCTTTGACGTCACCTGTACACCTGGGAGAGCGGACTCTGCATCATTTTACCCAGACTCCAGACACCGAGAGGGCCTGAATATCTTGGCCTCAGGCTTTGGTCTTTGAATCTTCGAGTTTTCCCTGTCAATCTATCCCTGGCCACTTCCACCTTCTGAACACCTGAACACCAGGTCCAGAATTCATTTGCTTTTGCTGTTTGACCCCCTTGGTGTCCCAGCTATCTGACATTTAACCCTGAATTCTGCCCCTGAGCTCAGATGTCCACACTATCTTACTGTTAACGTTTCCTAAACTCCAGATTTCCTTAAGTGTCTACTCTCTCCCCACAGGCCGATCTCCCAGATGAACCACCCGTGAACATGGAGAATACACACAAACTCTTGGCCTCGGGGAAAGACCTTGAGGCTGTGGAGACAGATCTAGATATAGCTCAGGTAAGGGCTGGCCTGGAAGGAACAGTCTTTACCTCTGTGCTCTGGGGGCTGACATATCTGAGCTTTAGAGAGGGTGGTAGCATGGTTGAGGGGACGAATGGATGGATGGATAGAAAGGCCATTATATTCTTTAGGTGATGATGGGGGACAGATGGATGGGTGACGGTTAGACAGACG